ACCACTACAACCAACCGACCCCCTACTAAAGAGAATGAAAACATGCTTGTGGCTGAGCTTTTTAAGCCAAACACAACAGACTGGGATGTAGAAAAGATTGGGAACATATTACCTGGGTTGGAGGAAATAATCCTCAGCATAGAGCCAAGCCGGATGGAAGTTTTGTCTGGTTGGGAACCTCCACAGGCTCTTACCAAGCAAAATCTGGTTATCATGCTGCAAAAGAAACACAACCAACATCAACTACAATAGCTTCCTCAGAAGATTTCAACTGGAATACAATGATATAGAAGATTAATACCTCTCCAAAGCTGAAACTTTTCCTTTTGAAGATTATGAGTGGCTCCCTCCCACTGGGAGAACAATTAGCATCGAGAGGGCTAAGGAACCAGAAACAGTCTGGAACATGATAGCCAAGCAATTCCAGACATCGAAACTAGGCTGAATACCGCAAGACTCTTGATTTGCCTACCCCCAACATGTATCTCCTCAGGGCCTCTTCTCCCCTGGATCTGCTGGAATCTCTGGCTTACACGGAACAACCGCATCTTCAATAATCGGGACTTCTCTGCGCAAGATACTATCTCCAAAGCCATCCGCGACGCTCGAGAGTGGTTCTTAGGACAATTCCAGGATCCCTGCAATTGAACACAAGCCCCAAATCCATCCTCGGGAAACCTAATTCTAGACGGATCCACTATCACATGCTATGCAGATGCGGCCTGGCGAAGCAACAACAAACTGGCTGGCCTCGGATAGGTTTTCAGGAACCAAGAGGATCATATCATCTGCTCAGGAACAAATGTTTCATATCCTCTAATGGCGGAGGCGCTAGCAATTCGGAAAGCCCTTGTTCATGCATCAACCATGAATCTATCATCAAACCATGATCAAAGCGAAAAAATCAAAATTGGAGATTTTCGGAATCGTCCAAGATATCTATCATCTTTCTGGAACAAAACCTCAGATAACCTATTGTCTTAATTAAAAATTTCAAATGACCCTAGGAAAAAAAAATTTCTTTTTTCTTTTCTTTTTATCACGAAATAGGGTAAAAAGACAAAATAAACAAGCCCAAACAACTTATTTACGATCTAACCACTAAAATCCGACCCGACACTTGACCCATTCCACATAAAGCGGATAAAACCGCCCACGATCCTTCCCCTCCTTCATAACTTCCCTCCCTACGATAAAATTGAAATAAAAAAATCAGTATAACTAGGGGATAACTTGGCTGCTAAAAATTCACAAAGACATCAAATTTCCATCCTCTTTCGTGCACCAATCCAACTGCGAACGGATATCGACTGCGAACTAGGAGAAAGGTAAGGGTTCTTCAATCGAAC